AAGGATGAGGAGCGTCGTAGATATTTACCCAAGCTCTCTGTGAATGTGAGCAAAGCTTTTGGAAACCTTCTCGCAGGGATGTGAGGTCTATTTAGAAGCACCTCATTGAGTTAGCCAAGCAGTTTGAAGGGTATTGAGCATTCAAAAACAGCTGAGGGTTTCACAGCCAAGTGGGAGATAATTATGTGCAACTGACACTTAAAGCACAGGTCAAGAGGGGGAGATAAAGAGGAATGGCTAAATTTTGTGTGTGATATTTATGCAAATGATTTACTAATATGTAAATTAATTTGTTGCATAATTTGGTGGTTATTCAGCCATAAAATTCATTTTAAGGTCAAAGCACTGCCCAAGCATGAGTGGTGCTTCACCAAACTTGGCAGCATGCTGTACCAGAGTGCCTGAGCTTTGATGGCTATATTTGTGGAGGCACCTGCACAGAATATGTGAAGTTGTGGAGAGGCATCTGATGGAGGCAACTGGTTATGAGCGAAGTTTCTAGAGCAAGAACTGGGTCCTCTTCATTGTCCCTGAGACCTCTTGCCTGCTTCTTCCAACTTTTCTTCCCTATACCCATCCAGCAGAGGGAGCAGAGAGGCAGATAAGTTTGCACGAATTTCCATAAGGAGCAGCCTGCATGTACAAGTGCCCTAAAAAATAAGTGACACTTGATAGGTTTGTGCACAGAACTCTCATAAGGAGAGGGATATAGATAGTGGATGAAGACCAGAAGGTGGGGCAAAAGAGAACTGGGCAGACAAAAGCTACCCTTAATGCTCTGTTTTGGTTTTTGTTTGTTTTGGTTTGTTTTTTGTATTTTTGAGCTCATTGCCTATAAAGCTGCATGGAAAACTGGAGACTTTTTCCAAAATGGTGTCAATTGGATTAACCCAGAATACTTCCAATAAATCCCTACTGAGAGAGGGTGATTTGTCCCTTCAGATCTGCTCTTCAGTTAAACTTTTCTCTCCTGTTTCATCACAGCACTGTAACACTCTTTATCCCTGCTACAGTCCTCACTTATATTACTGCTTGTATTAGTTCTTGTAATGCACTTGTATTACTGCTTGGCATGATATCTGCACCGCTGCAAGAGCGCAGAGGCTCCCTGTGCTCTCTCCTCAAATCCAGGGCATCCCCCTAACAAAGAGCATTGGAGATCCTTTCACATTAGTCTGCAGAATCCACGTCAATTACAGACAGCATTAGATCAATACAGCAGCTCATTTTCCTGTACACATCCTCATCTGAATAGGCCTCTCGGTTACCTAGAAACAAGAGTAAACACAAATGGCTCAGTACAGTGATCCAACAGACTCAGAGAACGACTGACTCCTGTGTGTCTGTCTGCAAGTCCAACAGCTTCTTCTGGTTTTATTTTCATTTCAAAACAATGTCTTTGATCCAAAAAATGTGCAGAATTGTAGAGAGTTTACCAGCAGATATACCTGGGGAGTCTGCCATTTTTCTGAGCTGCCCGGTGACCTTGCAGATGAACTGATGATGGCATGGGGACGCTGTGTTTGGGAAAGTTTAGCTGTTCCCTTGACAAAAGCATTTGGAGCTCCCTCGCACTGTGAATGGAGACAATTCATGGAAATGACTTAAAGAATTAAAAGAAGAACAAAGAAAACTTCAGCTGCAAGGTAATGTACGATAGTTACCCGGAGAATATATCAACAACCCTTGGCTTTCTGCCCTTCCAAAGACTTACGGTAGCTAACAGCAAACAGAACAAATACAGGGTGTTTCAATGTCTATCAGGTAGAAAGTTATTTTGTTATCTTGATGAAATGTCTATAACAAAGTTAAAGTATGCAATACTAATATTCTGCTGACCATAGGTGCCAGAAGTAGGTATGCTGGTGTTGCTGCTGCTCCCCTGGCTTGAAGTGGTTTCAATTATATATAGGATTTACAATTTGGTCAAAGTCTTTCAGCACCCCTACTTTATACATTGTTCCAGATCCTTTCTTTTTCATATTATTTTCCCTTCATCTGCTATATATTTTAGAGTGTTTGTGTGTGTGTGTGTGTGTGTGTGTGTGTGTGTGTGTCTGTTCAAGAACTCCTCCTAAACAGTAAAAGCTAGCACCACCGAATTTGTCATACACCTTCCTCTTATCATAACTTACAGCAAGGTAAGGGTTGATTGTGCCAAGAATGAGATTGCTTCTCAGAAAACCATACAAAAAAGATACAGAATCACCAGACAGTTGAAAGAGCCTGGCTGAGAGTGCAGCCTCTAGTCCAGACTGCCCCAGTCCCAAGCCTCCCTCCCAGACACTGATTAGGCATAGTTTGCAGCATTCCACACTGGGGGCAGATGAACCTGGACCTGCTCTAGCCAGGGGACATGCACTCCTCTTCCGGCTGCAGCAGCTGTGAAGAGACACTTCACACTAACCCCAAGCTGCTGCAGTAAGAGAGGGGTGGGGTTGTCCTTTCTACCACGGGCATCCTGCATACCGAACCCCTCAGACCAATCCCCATCCCAGAGCAATGATTCAAATGAAGCAAAACAAAAATTGAGTTAAGGAACCAAGCAACACTGGGTAAATCTTCTAGCTATAAAATAATTTATTTTCTCTGCATTGCTATTATATATATATATGCAGCACTATTTCAGTTCCTTCTTACAGAAATAGTGATAAATTCTTTATCATACCGTTGTAGAAGTCACAGTAAATAAGGTGATACAGTGCAAACAACTAACTGCAAACACACAGATGTGGTTTATACCCATCTGCTACAATATGAATTAATATCTAGTAACATTAGAAAAAGGGTTTTACATTCAAAGTAACTCTTCAGAGTCCATCTGTTCTATGACTAAGATGACAGGGCTACAGTATGTGGCCAAACTGAGTTCTTAGTGACAGACTCGTTGACTTTGATAAGATTGTTTAGCGGAATTTGTCGTGTGTGTGTGTGTGTGTGTGTGTGTGTGTGTGTGTGTGTGTGTGTGTGTGTGTGTGAGAGAGAGAGAGAGAGAGAGAGAGAGAGTCTTTATTATTACAAGGCATCTTTACCAGTTGGATTACTCTTTTTCTTTCTTTTTCTTTTCCCTTTGACCTGTTTTGGTTCGTGTCAACCAATAGTTTTCTGTTTTTATATTATATTATATTATATTATATTATATTATATTATATTATATTATATTATATTATATTATATTCACATCATGAATAAATATTTTCATAACTGAAATATTCATAATTGAACTAAACATGATGGTGATTCTTAAAAAAATTATAGCTGAACACTGAACATAAGAATAGCCATACTGGGTCCTTTATCATTATTCTACAGAATACTCATCATGATCTTTGTGGAGGAGATACCCTGGATTTGGGAAGAGAGGGATCACTAGATTATCTGTTCTGTTCACTCCCTCTGGGGCATTCTTCATCAATTACAGTCAGCATAAGATCAACACAGGTTAATTTTAGCATAGGTGCTTGTCACAGATAATTAACCCTGCCACTAAGGGACTAATACATTCTATAGACATGAACTAAATGGAATTCAAAGTGAGCAGTTTGCTTTCTTCTCTGTGGTTAGAGTCAAAAGATTATATATATTGTTTGCAAGTGTTGATTCTGCCTAGATTTACTTATGTCAGGAGACACAGTTGTGCACAAGAATAATATGAGAGCTGCTAGTAAGAAAGTGTTCTACTAAACTACTGTTTTGATCTTTATCTCACTGCTTGGAAACCTCTTGTTTAACAATAATTAATCAATTATTAATAAAACTCCCACTAAGATTTCCTTATTTGTCAGTACAGAACAGATAACAGAGGTAACAGAAAGCTTTAAATAATAAATATTCATTGGCTATATATCACAATGGTTATGAAATATGTGTGATGATTCTGTCAAGAAATATGCTTGCTAAATAATATGCACATTGCCCCACTGCTTGCCTGTAATTTAATTATTTATCCAAAGATTTTATGTCTAAGATTCTACTCTATGAGAATCTATTTAATTTGAGAAACACAGTTGAAGAGCAATGGAATAAGCACTAAATAACTAAAACTCAGTTCACCTGCTCACAAAAGTAGTTAGATCGCAGCCTATTTGTGAAAGCTCATTTTAAGGAGGTACAATGTGCTAACTGAAGTAACTCAGTGTTTCGGTGGGAGCTGGCTCTTGGGTATGTAAGGCAGTCCTCCAGGTTAAAAAATTCTGTAACTGCTCTGGAGCGTTATTCACTGAACTTCAAGGTTATAGCTATGTGCCACAGGGCTGGAAAGATGACATCACAACATCTCCAGGGAAACAGATGCTAATTCTAAGCATCTTTTAGAATGGGAGCAACTGCCCCAGTATTTAATGCAAAGCAGAACACTCACTGGTTGATGAACAGACCTATTTCTCTTTCCGAGTTTGAGGTAGAATAGGAAGCCCTATGTTTATCCATTTCCTGACTTTTGAGGGACTACATTTATCATCTTTAGTTCTTTATTTTAATATAGTCTTTGTGTAGAATTAAATGTATCTGACTTATGAACTCTTGTAATAAGCATTTAATAACAAAAGAGTGTTTTACTTTTTTCCTATGTATCACATTTTTGTTCTTGTGCAGCTCTTAATGGTGATCTGCTTAGTACCAATGAGCTTTATACTGTACAATGCAAAAGCAGAGAAAGCTCATAGATCATATGTAAGAACTAAGAATGAGGTACTTTACAAATTTTTACTCCCTTTATATGTTGGTAGTTACAAAGAACAATAATTTTAGGAGGGAATAAGTCTTAATGTGAATACCCAGGGATACATGCCACTACTAACTACATAAATATAGAGTTATCAGAATTATTCTCTTAATTAGCTTTGGATCTAGAGGATCCTGTCCCACCATGTCAGAATTGTGAAAAATAGGGCCAGACTCTCCTCTCCCCCAGCCCTGGGGGAATGTGTGCAGGAGAAAGTGGTGTCAAGAATCTGATTATGGATGTGTTTTTGATTAACCAAAGTATTTGAATTTAAAGAGTACATAACTCTTACCCAACAGAAACCAGAGACTGGTTCACTGTGACATGCAGTTCACTCTCAGTCCCTGTATGGAAAGTCACAGGTACATGCTATATCCTTACAAAAAGAACAGCTATTCCACATATTCCCTCGTGCTATGGACTATGCCTATCTATACTACCCCTGACTTTGGGGCAAGTAGGCTACTCTAACTTGCAATCTTGGCCACTGAGGGACCAGAGGCAGCTGGAGGATTATGACAGCAGTGTTGAGATCTGCCTTATCCCCTTCCCAACTTGCTCAGACATGTCCCTTTTTCTGAACTCTCTTGACTTTGTGTCTGTGTTCTCTAGCTAAGGAACTTAGCTGCTGATCAGATATAGCCAAAGTCTAGTCTTTTGCTCTCCCTGAATGGAAATCAGAAATTGCTCAATACTCTTCTAATTCCCTACAATACGTTGTAGAATGTTTGCTGTCTATGAAATATATATTAATGCATGAAGTCCTGTCCTGTAAATATAGATGGTATAGATCAGTGTTTCTTAAACTTTTTTAAGACCGAGGAACACCAAACAATAATTTTTTTATGAGGAACACCAAGAATTTTTTGTTGAGCCAAAAAAAGGTCACCTGACCCTTTAAGGGCAGCCATTTTGAATTCTTGAATTCTGTTGTTCTCCGCAGCACACCGGTGTGCCTCAGAACACAGTTTAAGAAACAATGGTATTGTTTGTATGCTTGTTTTAGTTATGTACACGAAAACCACAAATAAACACTTTAACCTTCGCTTTAGACAGGAGTTTCTTCAAGCAAACATGTCAGAGAACTCCACTGAGCTGGTTAACTATCCTGACAAGTAAGTCAGTAATTACTTATAATCACAACTTGAACAGAAATTTATTCCAATCAAGGGCTTATTTAATTGCATCCTGGACATAAAGCACTGTCTTGTACTTATCACTACAGCTATGGTGAACAGGGAACAATGTGGATTCATTTGTATGTACTTGCTAATTGTGATTCATGCTCTCTATATCAATGGTACTTAATCTGGGGGCAATCTAGGTTGGACCTTGGATTGCAGAAAGAAAGAGAACTATTGCATTTTTATGGCTCAGGTTCTATTCCATGCATTGCCTCCACCGTATCATACCATTTTCTTCAGAATGTAATAAAAAAAATCACTCAACTGGTTGCTTCCATGGTCCATGTCTCTTTGCAAGAGCTTACTTTCCATGGTGTTTTGAAAGTAAGGCATATTAGACTTTTGAATTGTGAGTAACTGGAAGATATCATAAAATCATAGACGTGTAGGAGTGAAAGGGACCTCAAGAAGTGTCAGAGTCCAGCCCTTTGCTCTGAGATAGGTACAAATAAACCTAGACCACCCTTGTCAGGTTTGTCTCACAGGCTTTTAAACCTTCCAATGTAGAGGATTCCACAATCTCTCTTAGAAGTCTGTTCCAGAGTTTAATTATCCTTATACTGAGAACGTTTTTCTAATATCTAATCTAAATCTCTCTTGCTGCAGATTTAAACCCATTACTTCTTGAACTGCCTCCAGAGAACAATTGATTACCATCTTCTTTATAATAGCCTGTGGCAGTACTACTCACCTCACATGAATGCCCCTGTGGTTGAGTGTCTGCATTTGCAGTCTCCCAGCTTTACTTCACTTGATGTGATCTCTGTTGGTAGTTAAATTTTTCAAGTAATTTTTAGTGAGGGTTGAGCCATGCAGAGTCTGTAGGTATTCAAACAAAGTAGATCCCTTCCAGGGTACAAATCCATTAGGGCCTTTCACAGGGCCCTCCATAACATCTTGGTCCAGACCTCTCTCTCCAGGCTCAGTTATCAGTCCAACAGGACCTATTGCAGTATTTTGATTATCCTTAGCACCTTTGAAGCTAGCTTCCAATGGTACTAGCTATGTTACGGAGCAGTGCTACAAGGTCCCTCCCTGGTGACTCTTAGCTCTGTAGCCAGCTTCCCTTACCCCTGTCCGCCACCTGAGTCACTTGTTCAGTTTCTTGCTGGTGTTAACACAGTTCAGATAAATGCTGGCCCTTTCTGAGGTCTTATTCCCCCTTCTGTGGGCTTTAAACATTCTACCTGTGGCTGGTGGGTGGGACCAGGCCTGCCCACTATTCTGGATTTCAACCCTGGGATCCTGCAAAGCAATCACCACCATCTGTTTCCTTTTAACTTACTGCTTCATTTCTCTGGGCCTCTTCCCTTCTTAGCCCCAGCTTTTTCAGTTTCACTCTTACTCAGGGCTGAAATCTTTTTTTTGAGTCCCAGTCATCACCCAGGTGCCCCTTCTCTGCTCTCTGTCCAGATAGTGCCACTCCTGCACCTAGCCAGGAGCACCATCCCTGTTCCCCTGACTCCAGCCAGCAACTGATCTGCCCTGTCCGGCAGCTACTTTTACATGAGCCTGCTGGGCTCCGATTGGGTGCTTATTGCAGCCTCTCTAGGCAACCCAGAGGACCCACCTTTACTACTCTTTCTTGGAGAAGGGTGTGGTAGAGTGCAAGGCCTCCAGCAGAGGGCCTCTCTCTAGCAGAGAGCCTTTAACATATATGAGGAGTTTTATCAGCACCATATTCAATCTTCTATTTTCAAGACTAAACATGCCTACTTTAACCTTTCCACAGGTCAGGTTATCTAAATCTGTTATCATTTTTGTTGGTCCTTTCTGCACTGTCTACAATGTTTCTTAAATGTGGAACCCAAAATTAGATACAATACTTCGCTGAGGTCTCACTGAGTAGAGTGGGACAATATCGTACAAGCAATGCTCCTCTTCAATATCGTACAAGCAATGCTCCTGTTAACACATCCTAGTATATTAACCTTTTTCTTAACAGCCTATATTTCACCTTTTTCTCAGTTGCACCAAGAAGGCCTCCTTTGCTTTTTCTCCTCAGAAGCTTTAATGTAATTACCGATGAGAACCAGTTACTACACATTTCTAAGCAACCGCATTTATTCTTAATGTGACAGCATCTCAGAGAAAACATTAAAACAGAAGATCCTACATGCATGCTAATAACTTTACCAGAGATCACTTCCAGATCCAACAAGGGCTGTGGCCACTGAGTAGTCCTTCAAACTTCACAAAGGAGTTTTCTTCTATGATCACAAGTTCACAGCAGCTGTTAGCTCAAGCAAGCACACACAAGAATCTGTGAGTCACTCTGTGAATACAGTTTGGGTCTTTGATCTGCAGAGACTATGACTAGGTAGTCAGCCAGACAAGAATCCCCTTCTCAGGGCAAAGCTTCAAATGGTGAGGGTCTTTGCATATCTGGACATGGTGATTTGCATTCATCTCCTTCCAGGTATTTCCTAGAAATCCTCTTTACTTGGTTTGTCTGGCACATTGTTTAAAACAATCCTCTGAGGTTAATAACACTTCCCAGTGTTTACATTGGCTGTGTCTTCTTCCTAGAGAAGTTACAATCACAAAATAATACATCAGCTTTGCATTTTTAATACAATGAACTCCTAAAATACTTAAACTTAATTCAGTAAGGTTTAGTGCAATTCATTGCCATAGCTGGCATATCAATCAGTAGAACTAGGCTGGAATAAGGAGGAATATTCGCTGCATCCAAGTAAAGAGAGAGCAAAAATCACTGCCATGCCATGCAAAAATCAATGCGATGAGGCATTGAACCTGCCTGATTGTTGCACAATCTTTCCTCCTCCAGCATATAACAGGAGATGGTCTTTGGATCTCAGAGCAGAGCTGGAGTTATTTAAAAATTACTAGAAATGATGTAATCATCGCTGACATGAATGAACTGCAGGACTGAATCAAAAGCACAAACTACAGGATTTCTCATAATAAACAATTTTCAGGATGCAAGGTCATTGGCAAGTTGCCACTAGGTTATCATTTAAAATCTACTAAGATATGGATTTAAAAAAACTAAATAGGATAAATGATTTATGATTTCTTCCAGTCAGTGAACTCAGTCATGCAACAACTGAGTGATAGCTGCTATTTTTCAGACTTAAGGAATATCTTTACTTTTTTAGCATTGTACTTAACCTCCTTTTTAGTCATGTGCTGCATATTTTGCATTATAATACTACCAACAAAAAAGTGCTAGATAGGCTGCCCTGGTAGTTAGTGAGCCCCGCTCTGATGAAAGTTTCTGGTTCAGTTTCCAGACTCAGCTTTGCCTTCACAAGTGCAGAGGTGTACAATTTGCATTCTCCCAGCCCTGTGCCT